GAAATGTACTGGAATGATAAGCTTCATTTGAATTTAAGCGGGCGATATCGCCATCAAAAAAGCTCGTTTAGAGTGGATGTAATATCGCAATGAACAGTGAAAAGTCTCTATCATAAAATCCGTCTGACTTGCATATTGTGGGTCATCTGAACTTCATAGCAGGTTTTGTGTTGATGGATGGTAATTATAGTGAAAATGAGACATTAACTTGTAGACAACAATGTCGCATTGCAATACGCATTCGTGATATTAGATGAACAGAATCTATGGATGCGGAATGATTCAGTTTCATTTTCAAGTTTTACAGTCATTAACCATTCATTTTTATGCGGCGGTTTTGGTTGCTGCCTTTAGGGCGCTCATTTGGATAAAAAAAGCAGATTGGGATATTTGGAGTAGGGTCAAAGAGAATATAGAGAATTCATATAAACTATGGTTAAAAGTATAACGAGGGGATGCAAGGGCGCCACTGTTTGCAACACAGTCACATCACTTAGAATATCAACCATGCGATAACCGTGATCTCGAGGTCTCCATCCAGAGAACCTAACGCGAACTATAACCCCGACTTCAGTTACGGGTTTTCATACCCTCAATCTAGGTCTTTGATGAGGAATGACTGCCACCAGTGTAACTTCGGTCTGGTCTCAAACAGTACTAGTCTCGACTCCACTAAGTGCACTCACCTTGCATGTCTGAGTCGTGAGGGATAAATGAGCATCAATCAAGCCATACAACAACCGGGATAGAAAGAATTCTTAACCAATAATAACGCTAACACTACCAACAATAATCATCCGCTACTCTCGTAACGAATAGGCAAAGAAGGAATGGTCGATTAAAAGCACTGNACTGCAACGGGGTTCAAAAAGTGGGTAAGCAATGTGGTGTTGAATATGACGGTGATCTGTATCACTTGACTACAATAGAAAACGAGTAGTCGCCCAATACATGAAGTTCCATGAAGGCGACCGGAAACTTGTAACATCAGAAGTGAAGTATTGAAGTGTTTGACCCCCAAAAAGAATCAAAGCGATTTTGAACTAGGTAATCGTCTGGAAGAGATTTCACTTTAAAAAAGCAAAATGAAATATCCAAAGTTTTCGTAAATCGCGAAAATGAAAATTTAACGTAAAAACTTTAAAAAGAAACAAATTATTTACCCCTTTGATTGGGCGAGATTCTCGCCAAGCTTGACTATTTCGTGAAATAACAGGTTGTTGCTCGGGAACTATTGAGGCTCGAGAAACTCCGCGAGGTGTAGACAAGTTATCAGATAGTGTAGACGAACTGGTAGTACTGCTACAGTGGCTTTTTCTATCCTCTGAATCCAGTTCTATCGATCGATAAGTGGATAGTGCACCCTTCTCCCGTCTGATAACTCCATCCAGATGTCGCTTAAGACGCAAAAGTTGAACCTCAGTCAAGTCATTCACACCGAGAGCAGATAACTGTCGGCGAATTTCCTCGACACTGAAATCCAAGTTGGTTGCGGTTGATGAAGCAACCATTGATTGAGACGTCATATAGAGAGCGCTCTTCCGGGTCTGCGCAGGTCAGGATGAGATTGCACCGAGGAGGAAACGGTCACTTCATGCAATCAAATAATTGCACACAAACGATGCCGCATGTCCCACTGAATCAAAAGATCTAAAATGAAATATGGTGGAACAGAGAAAATTTTGCACTGTGGTAACTGTTTCTTACATATATTCATCTACGCAACAGAAAAAAAGAAACTGAGGGAGAATGGGAATTTAGCATCCCTTTACGAGGTATAATGACACTTCGTATAGAGATTCAATAAGTAGGACCCATGCCAAACGAAAAGAATCTCGCACTGTGATGAACTGGAACGTACAATTCAATGAAATGACAGTTTACCATATCAACTTGGCTAGCTACCTGTGATCCGGGAATGAAGAAACTGACATGTTTCACTGGGAACTCGAGAAAACATATATAACAGAATAGAAACTGAGAAGGAAAGATGGCCTCTGTTTACAACTTAATTAAAAAGAAAGAAAGACAAGATAGGATGAAGAAATCCCCGTTTGATCCCGAGGTAACAAAAATAGCCATTTCGATGCAGTTTGTTTCAGGGGTAGGTAACTCATGAATAATTCCGGTTAAATAACGAAAGACGAGGAGTATAATCAGCTTTTCCTACTCCCAGACTGATTGTTCAGAACTGCAATCGTCAATGAAGCGATGATAAAACGATTCAGAGTTGATTTTATGGTAGTACTGAGGTCAGATATCACCGGAGTAAAACTCGGAAGAACCAATCACCTCTACGTAAAGTGGAGCACAAAACTTGAACTCTAAAGGTCCAAAATGGAGCACACCATCACTGATCCAAACGCACCGATATATCAGAAATTGGAAACTGCATATTTCTTTTCGATGAGCAACATATAGGCATNTATTACCCAGTACCACTAGAAGCATAAACAGAACTGACTGTTGTTTTAGTAATGGTGGAAGAATCGAAAAGTGAGAACGAGTTAGGCTGAGTGAATGGAACGATTTATGTCAAACAAAAGCTTTGCGCATACAAATTACACACAAGGTAATGTGTCCATTTTGTACACAAGTCGAGGATGGTTATGGAGAAAACAGGGACGGGGGTAGGTTACATCAGGAAGAGGGATCAGAACCGAAGCAGAAATCCTTTATCCGTGCCGGAAGAAACTAGGTCGCCGGAACCGATAGCTGCACCTGAACGGGAATCTGGACCACCACCAATCCCCATACTGCTGTAGAATCGTTGACCCCCCATGGGTGGAGCTGGAGGTTGATACCGCACCCGACCACTTCCACCAATGCTTCCGGTTGCGGCTGCTGCAGCAGCGGCGGCCATCGCCGCGGCGGCCGCAGCCAAAGCGCCTCCTCCGGCAGGGGGACGGGGAGAGGCCTTGCGAACAGAAACGGCACCTTCAGATTTGGCTGGCCAGCTAGGGAACATTGACGGGTGAATAGCCCGGGGACGCTCGTTGAAGTAAGCATGGGTCAGTGCTTTCTCCGCAGTGATTCTCCTTTCCGGGCAATAGGTCAAAAAGCTAAAATACAGACAAAGTAGACGAAGAATCCCTTATAGAAATCTTTGATGTTCATAACTCTCATTTTGGTAGAGATCAGAACAAATTCGTAATATAAAATGAATTAATGCAGTGTAAATCCTAGCTTACAACAGGTTATACAACTACTAGCTGAAAGTCAAACTGCCACATGACGCATAAATAAGGAGTGAAACATCTGAAAACGTCAGACAATACACTAGTTTAGCGCTGTGGCGGACTGTCTAGAGAACATTCATGAACTTCGAGAGTACAAAACGAGCAGTGGCAATACATCTCCAATCGTAATTTCTACGTGGTCATAACATAAAAGGACTTTTCAACATTGAATCTACTTTATCTAATGTGTTACAACAGAAAACAAATACTACCGGATGTCAACATTTTCTTTGACAAAGTTATGTATCTTGCATACACTTAGCAGGTTGTTTTCCATTATGGCGATTGAAGAAATTAAACAAAATGTTAATATCTCGCAGCATTTGTCCTCTACCCGTTCTAGCGGATATGAGTATAGTAAGACTGTACTGCAGTATCGTGAGTTGAATAGTACCGTCTAAAAAAATATAACATATATAACGCATCCTATTAGCGAACCGTGCAATTATTTCGTAACACGCTTCTTCTGTATTCATTGATTTATCGATGACGTGAGAAAGGAATAAATCTAGGGAAAGTGAAGTTGTGGAACCATTTCATGGGGACAGCTTGGTGATCCTCTGCAAAAATCCCTAACTTCATCCACCAACAATACATTTTTCATGTAACTCAATCATCTGCGTATAATCGCAAACTACATTTCTGTACACTATTGAATCAAATGAAGTACTTTCAAACCCAGTCAAATCCAAGAGACTATCGATTCACTGCTCTGCTATGAATCCATATACTGGGTGACGATTAATCGTAGAAATGAAGTACGTAGACGGCAAACAGGGCAATAGGGAACCAGTCAAGTAAGTATAAACAGAATTGTTACGCGCTCTTGAACTACTACTGCGGATAAGCGGGCAAACGGTGAATCAGTTTTACATGTTTCACATCTCCATACAGAACAGCACTATTCTGCTCTTGCTCCGAGACGTGTGGAGAAACTAAAACCTGTTTCGGTGTACGGAAACCAAAATACAGCTCACTGGTTATGCTAGTCATACCTCACTACAGTTCAGAAATGGCCACGAGAGTCCCAGTCGTGGTAAGGAAACAGGAACAAGGAACCACCAGAACCGTGCTTCAGACCCATGCCGAATTCAGGACTCCGAAATCATCCTCCGGCAGTAAATGTTACCACCAATCCGGATCACCACAGACTTTACGCTACTACTCAAAACTGGTGATTAAGACAAAACAAGCTCTTCTTCTCGAAACATTTTCCTTGGCGGATTATGATACCGTATCTCCACATCCTTTGAAACAAAGAGCAAGCTTTCCAATTTAGAAAAGCCTTTGTAATGACCCGACATCCTGCCAAGTTATTGCTCCGAAAATGCCGAGTGGAGCACAAGCAAACTTTCTTGCCATCAGTGTGAAATATTTGGAATTTCCGACCAGCTCAAGTAGTTGTGTGCAAAAACTGATTTTTTTCAAACAGAGATTTGATGAATCATTGACATATTTTACACGAAAGTATATAAAAGGATGAAACTGTGAGATTTCTCAAATATTTTACTTGCACTCTGTCAAACAACAATTTGACTTAAGTGTTCATCAAATTAGTTATTCGGGAAACCGGTAGCGGCGGTCATCTTACGCAATACTCACTGTGCCTATATGCTTCCGATTCTTCATTACACATATCTGTGCGATGAACAGAAGACGGAGTGGACCCCACAGCCACGAGAATCTGAGGCTCAGTGATGGAAACCGGTAGCCCCGGGAATCGGAGTGGCGCGGTACTGAACCGGACGACAGCAAAACTGCCTACAACCAAAAGCTTGGTGGCGGTGGCGAGTTTTGAATCTCAGATCATGGGATTCAAAGCATTCCGGTTACGGCAAATAGACCGCTGAAGCACGGCCTCCGTAAGCTGGCTGAATAACAATAGGTAAATGGAGATCTTTGGGTGTGACCTATCAGTTAAGAGCGTATGGTGTGCACAGACGTAGGCCGCGTCCAAGCACTGGTTTGAATCTCACTGGTGTTTCTGATATCGATACAAATGACTTACATGGAAACTCATAAAACCAAACAAACTTCGAAAATCTCAGTAAACAAACAAACCTGTTTAGGAGGTCGAAACCCTGATCGGAGATTTGCTTTTCGGTAAAACGGCGACGTAGTTGGTTGTACGGATAATCCGTGAAAACACATTTTTTCATACCCGGCAACTGGGACACACCAGGCCATATCCGCTCTGTAGGTGTGCCCAAATCGCGAAAGATTATATTCAATTCATCCACTTCACCTTTGCCTGGGAAGAGAGGACGCTGAAGGAGAAATTCGGCAAAGATGCAACCGACAGACCACATATCGATCGGACAAGTGTACTGTTTGACACCTGAGAAATGGTTCGGATGAAAAGAGAAAGAGTAACATGCTAAGGGTTAAACAAGAATGATAATGGTGATAAAAACTGAATAACAATAACAAAAATAAATAGTAGTATAACTGAACTTATGTAGAGATGGTCTGAAGTGATTCAGCATTTGTTTCACCTGATTACAGGAATCGCATCATCAGACCAAATCATTCTCTTTTCGTAAACTATAGAGAAAACGATTTTCTGAGTTATATCATTCAGTCTTCAAATGATGACTTATAGGCAGTTCATGGTTTGGTATAATTACACGTCTAGTTATCCTGTTGTACTGAGGAAAGCGCGGATTCTGCAACCCTCCTGAAATGATGAAAGTCAGTTTGAAAAGGTAAACGGTTTACCTACCTACCTACCTAGTTGTCACTGTTAGTGGTCCTAACACCAAAACACTCCACTTGTCTTGATATCAGCACCCTTTCGTTGTTTCCTTGGCATTAGAACGTAACATTGTTCTAATTCTCCCTTCTTCGACGAATTTGAACCAGAAGAAGTGAACACGAAAAAAAGAGTTATCGCATGGAAACGACATGGGTGTTTACCATCAGTTCTTTGAATAGTAAAAGGCCATTTGGACGACTAAATGTGGTCAGTGATTGCGAAAGGCAGCTTTAGATGTGAAGTGATTCAACACTAAACCGATAGGACATTCACTCGTCTATCGAATTTGCGCAAGCTTTTTTCACAAAAACGAGGAAAAAATGAGCACTTATAAATTTTGTGAAGCGACCCGATAAGTAACATTGGAGGATTGCGACAATCTGTACAAAAGGTCAATACTGGAGCTGCCGGTGTGCTGTAAGAAATATATGAATTTTTTTACGATAAGAATATGACTACCAATGAGTAGTCCAGTGCTGAATGTAGAAACCGGCGAAAACAAGCAGCTTCATTCTGACCGTAAGGTCGGCCTCTGCGACCAAACTTACAGACGTCCGAGTCCCGGAAAGTTAACGCATATTTACCTACCTAATAAACGGACAAATATAGTCTCTCGCCATGCATTTTGGTACCCAGATAGTTTTATTCACTTAATATTACGAGAAGTTTGTCCATTTCGGTTTGCTCACACCAAACCGGAATTACAGCAAAAGTTCTGATCACATATATCTAAAGAATCATTCACAGCAAGCTTACCTAAAAGCAGTTCCGGAGCACGATACCACAAAGTGACGACAACTTCAGTGTAATGTTTCAAGGGAGAACCATACTCCCGAGCCAGACCGAAGTCCCCGACCTATAAAAAGACAATTAAGTGCCAATGAACAACGCTATGGCGGCGAAACTGTAGCATCCAAAGTAGCAGTCATTTTTACTATTTCAGAGTATATCTATTGAAGTTATCGAATGTTCAGGACTTGAAATAATATTCCCTCAGGCGAAATATGAAGCTATTGTATTGAGCATGGACAAACAAGCACACACAACTAAAATCCAGAAAGGGACGTGTCACTCTTCGATTTTAACTACTAAGAGTCATCGCATGGATCTACGCAGCACCAATGGCAAGTGTCAAACGTTGGATAGATACTGAAACCCAATTTTCACAGCGTATTTACAGCGTAGTTCGAGTCTTGCAAAGTACTGGACAACTCTGACTCCTCAAACGGGTGAGTGATACAACAATCAATATCGCAACACCCCATTAGAATCGTCAACGACACGAAAGCCGATCAAATGGACCGTTCGAGAGATTACCATCCCTAATTGCATTTTAACCTTAGCAACCAGTTCACTAATTCCGGGTAACAGGATCAACAACCTTGCCAAAATGGGCGAGAAACGATCGAGGTTAGTGGTAAAACCTTATGAACAAAAACAATCATACTTTGATCAACTTCCTAGGGTTATAACAGCCGTACTGTGCAGGCACATGGAAAAGATGATTTGAGAAATTAGTGTGCATATCCAAACAAGATTGCAGAAAAAGCTGACCTTTAGAATGCCTTGATGGCTCAGTAACAGATTAGAAGTTTTGAGATCCCGGTGAAGAATCCAGTTATCGTGTAGATGACGAACAGCCCGAAGCAACTGCAACAGTAAGCATTTGACTTCGCCAACACTAAAAGGGCCGTTCATGATCTATATAAAAAAGTGAGGTAGACAACAGAACCAAGAAGCTAAATGCGTCTATTCGTTTCTAAAAATTTGAAATTATCATAGAGAAGAAAATAATGATTTTACACTCAAAGATGAATATTTCCAGGATAAGCCTATCAGAAATTTACACGAAATCTAAAAACAAATGGGAGCCTAAAAAGAAAAAAAACATACAAACATACAAAACATACAAGAAGAAATTCACGCCATGAACAGCGATGGGGAACTGTATGAGTTCCGAACTTCCGTTGATCAAGACGAGAAAGCGCATGATAAATATAGCTCCCAAAGAACGCAGAAATTTGTGTTCAATTATTTAATAGTCTTTCATACCAGTGAAAAACAGCTACAAAAGATGCTCAAGAAAAACTAAAGAGAAAATCATGGTCGTTATAACAGAGAAAGATGGCGAGAGCACTTCACTGATAACTATCACGTTCATAGTCTAGCGGAACAGAAATCTAAGGCGAACGCGAGTTGGGGCTGTACAACGAAGGAAAAACGAACTGACAAGATCAACCAATACAGAATACCTAGCTAAGTGGTACGTGTAGATATTCTTGAGTATTCTAACATGCCCAAACGTCTTAGGACCACGAATGACCTCAACGAAGCTTAAATTTTGAAAGCTATGGATTTTGGGTATCCTACTCCAATTATGACTTATGTTGGCCAGACGATTTCAGCGATATATATATATATATAACAATATATATATATATATATTGTTATATCGAATAAAGCATGAACAAAACTGTTGTCGACTCGTTGCCCTGTTCTGCTGTATATCCAGTCAAGTGATTACAATACCTGGATTCGAAAGACGAGACCCCCATCATACGCAACCGTTCCCTATATTTCTTAGTAGCTCGACTCCATGTTATACATAAATCGGCCTCCACGTGATTTCCCACACTCTGAAAAAGCAACAGTAGATAAGCTGTAAACGATCTTTAAAGGTGCAGACTAAGTGATAAGACCAGTGAAGTTCGTTCTTCTAGAAATGTGCCAGCAAGACGACTACAAACGTATGATCGTGTGGCTAAATGGATCGTTCCATACAGCCTAATTAGGCGAGACATTTTAAAATGAAAATGCGCATACCAGTAAAAACAAAGGAAAATGACGAACCTCCATCAAAGATTTCAGATCGTGCTCGACATATTCCATCACCAAGTAGATTTTATCCATATTACTCCCAACTACGATCTCGCGGACTGTGACTATGTTTTCGTGTTGAGCTTTCATCAGTGTATTGATCTCCCTTAATGACGTGATTGGGAACCCATCTCGTTCCTTTTCCATTTTCAGACGTTTCAGGGCAACAATTTCATTACTCTTTTTGTCCCGAGCACGATAGACCACACCGTAAGTTCCTTCTTCAATACGGTTTAAACATTCGAATTCTTCGACTGAACGACATCCCTGAAAGATGAAAACAGACAGGGATATAGACCAGAGAGTAAACCAATCAATCCAAATGTGGTGTGAAAGAAAGTAACCGCTAGCTTAAATTGTGGAAATCAGTAATTGCAACACTTGATCGAATGAAGACCAGTCACAACATTTGACTTGGTTATGTTTCGTCCGCAATGGCGCGAGATAGCACTCAGAAATCACTCAATCATCTGGTTTTGTGGGACTGCGCTGTTTAGGTTCTAAGCACCGATTTATGTACAATTGGATTTTCGGCTCTGAGAAGCCATTCTGTATATCTCGCATGGCCGCGAATGAACGCAAAAATCGCACTACGTAAATGCGGAGTTTTATCGGGATGAGAAGGATCGCCTTACGATAAACACGATAGGGGAGATAGGAAGAAATGAGACCCCACTAAAAAAGTTACAGCAGAACTTCAGAGTGGGGCTTATTTGAACTTTGTACATGTGGGACTAGCATCAAGCCATCGCAAACAGGCGTTGAGTGATGCATATGTGTTTCTGACCTGATTCAATCATTCATCCAATCGTCATCATCATCGTACAGCGAGATACAATGAAACGAGCTTCACTGATCGCTGCCAAGCTCACAATGTACATAAATCAAGTGATAAAGCACAAGATGGAGAGGGATTGGGCCTACTTGGAGGAATGCAAAGAAAAATAACCTCCATGTTCAACACACAGAACACGTGCATACCTTTTATCAAACACTTTGCCTTGTTAGGAAATGACAACAAGAGCGCCACTGCTGTCGGTTAGTCGCCATATCCTTTAATGTCTCCAGCCAACCAGTTGCAGGGTCTT